TTGGATCACTTTTTTTAACAATAATCAATAAACTGGCATTCTATGAACATGGCATTATGCATTTAGTGGAAAGATGGGATAAAGTCATATTAAATAATGGTAATAATTGGTAATTGGTTGACTGTCGTGGATAATGAAGAGAAGAATAGTTGGGGTGATCAGTCAAAAAGGAAGGCAAATATAAATGTTAATATTTATTTATTTATTTTTTTTACATATGCCGACGTTTCGACCTGAAGTTCAGGCCTTCATCAGGGCTAAGAAAATAACAAGGTATGAGAAACATAAGTAATGATGGTAAAAAAGATAATAAAAAATAAAAAAATAGAAAAAATAAAATAGATAAATATAAAGTAAAATGAAATTGTTAGAATAATGACTAAGAGCTAAGAGATAAATAATAAAAACTGTTACAAAGTGTGGAATGATGATGTAGGCATAATCAAAAAGGGTGACAAAAGTGTTACAATGCGAATCTTAGAATAAAATGTAAAACATAAAAAAGAAATATGAAGTTATATGAAAATAGTAATGAAAATAAATAGTAAAATTAAAACATTGAGAATGGAGTAGTTAGATAGAAAATTGAGATAAATAATGGTAAATATATTGTAGATTAAAATAAATTTTATGTCTATAATATATTGAGTTTTATTTCACCCGGAAAAACTGAAAGGACTTATTTGTCAACCAAATACAATAAAATGTGTGTACTTGGATAGTAATTTTGTTACCTATACCAAAAAAGTCGAGTCTAAAATACCTTTTCTTCCCAGAAAGATTTAACTTGAAAATGTTATTTTGAATAAAAAAATTTAGAACAAAAAATTTAAAAACTATGCCCGGCCTTATGCCTAATCTTTAACGTTACAAATTGTGACATTTCGTCCATGGGTCACGCCTGTTCTCATGTTTTAAAGGAGATTTGATTATAATATTTTACACTATCTTTTTTTTTTATTTTATATAAATTTAGCGCTTAAATTGCAAAGTATACAATGAAATGCAACAAAAACCAAAAACGTGCAATTTAGCTCGAAAAGGCGAAAACTTGCAAAATTAAATTTCAATATGTTATTCTGCAGATCATGAAACGCATAGATTTTTTTGTTTTGAAGTTTTTACATCCATGAAAATCTGGTCACTAGTCATGACATATAAAAGACACACCATCCCCTACTAACCACTACACCCACCCCCCCCCCTCCCCACCACCCCTACTCCCGCCAACACTACTCAGACACCCCGTCACCCCGCTATCTTTTATTACTTCCCTCTTAAGCAAAATCATATACAATTCTTCAGCTATAAACCTCTCAAAAAAAAATTCCCCATCTCCTAAATCCCCATACAATACACACCTTCCCAACCTTTTCACATCCAAAATTTTCACTTCAAAATTTACTTCAACCCAACCTCTTCAACTCCTTCTAACCTTCCCACCCTCCCCACCCCCAAATCAAGGAGTTTAAGGACCCATAGAAAAATTACACCTCTTGATCACCCACCCAATGACATTCTCTTCTGACGAGGCATCCTAATTAATTTTCTTGAGGGACGATGGCCTTTTTTTCGGGGGGGTTATTCCAACAAATCCCCTCCCATCACCCCAGTAGATCAACCACCCCGTTACTTCAACCCTACGCTCGCTTCGCGCCATATCTTCTACCTGATCCTGTTACTCCATGTCCCTGCACTAGCTGCCGACCCCCCCGTACCTGCGGATAACCCCGTGCCCACCAGCAGAGTAAGATGACATTGTGGTGATGTGTAACACAACCCAATTAAATTGAGCTAACAGTAGTCTGATACTTTTATCTTTTTGTTTGCAATCATGTCATTGATAAAAGTAATACACTCATTAATCCTCCTTTGAAAAGATAAAGATTAAATTCTTTATAACTGTCGTAAATGTAATCCCAGTTATTCCGATCAGATTTCGTAGAATGCATTTCGTTAATTTTCTTTATTATAGAGTGTAATCCATAAGCAATTTTAAATATTTAAGAAGGTGATAGAATGCTTCATGAGTTATAAAAAAAAATATGAAACCTTTTATTCTTACGGAAAATTCTCAATCCGCGTTGTTTGGACGCCATTATGGGACAGTGCGGAAACTTTTTTTGTGAGAACATTTCTTTTTTTTTTTAAATAAATAGTTACAAGAAACATAGCTGAATGCAATTTTTTGAGATGTGGATGGTGCACTATAAAGTGGTCTGGCCTACGGTGTAACATACTTCTCAAAACACCTCCCTACTCCCTCTACCAATCCAATCAATGAATATCTTCAAGGAAAATCTCCTAATTTTCTGAACGATGTTCAAAATGGAATTTCAAAATTCTTCCATCCAAAACTAAAAGAGCACTATTGTGAAGAAACCGAAATTTGTAAATTTTGAAAGCTCGATAGTTCGCTTCCTATTGGGTTTAGAAAAAAAATGTTTTGTATTAAAAAAGTCAGATAATTTTAAGCTGTATGAGATTGAATATGACCATTTTTTTATATATATATATATATAATATATATATATATATATATATGTCGCTCTAAAAAGGAGGTATTTAGCGGAAACAAAACAAATTTTGAAATTTCAATGGTTTTTGGAGGACTATTAGCCTAGTAAAGTTAGGGAAAAAAAAAACAGCCTTACTCCATCATTCAAAAAATAAATATGAAACTTATCAGAAATTGTTCATTACCTTCCCCATAATAACTGATAAAAAGACCGAAATGATTTCGCTTCGGCTTTTGATGAAGGAAGGGGAGGAAGGACAGAAAAATTATATTTTTTCTCGAATATCTTGAAAACCGTGAGTTTTTTACAAGAATTGTCAAGTATAATATTAAAGTACTTTAAAATCTCTGTAAAAATGATCCTATACATTTTTTTGATAAAAAATTAATGATTACGGAGATATTTATGAGATTATATTTATTGTATTTCCACTTTAAGCAAAAATTGCTTGAAACCACAAAATTGATGTTGCTCATAGTCACTATCTGATCCATGATTTAATTTTTGGGGAGAGGGCCTCAGCCTGAAAGTTTTTATTTTTTAATAAAAATAACGATAATTACTTTGGAAAAAAGAAAGAAACTAACTACCTATATGAAATGGTGTTTAAGTGGTTCTTAAAGTCCTTTTAAATGTAATTACACGAACGATTAAACTTTAACAGATATTTTTTAAATATTTCTTTCCATAAAACATGGTTATATTTTACCATTTTGGGGGGAGGGCTTCAGCCCGAAAGCCCTCCCCATAGATCCTCCCGTGCTCATAGTCAACGATACTTTTTTAAAGTTTACCTATTTTTTTAACATTTTCGATCCTTCAAATTATTATTCAAAGTTGCTTGATGATTCTAAAAAGTCATTGACAACAGTATTATATTCGATACCAATCAATGCAGAATTTCATGATAATGATATGAAGTTTAGGTTGACATTAATTTCATATAATTGATAATATGTGATAGAAGACATTAAAACTTATAAAAAATTATTAAACTTGAACATCAATTATGTGGTTTTTTGCTTAAAGTATTTTTGCTTAAAGTGGAAATACAATAATCTCATATATATCTCCATAATCATTGATTTTACCAAAAAAATTTATAAGATAATTTTTATTGAGATTTCAGAGTATTTTAATATTATACTGAACAATCATTGCGAAAAAAACTCATAGTTTTTGAGATATTCTTAAAAACTAAAAAAAAAAATCATTTTTTTTATCTTTCTCTCCTCCCCTCCCTCCATCAAAACCCGACGCGGAATTCTTTGTGGCTTTTTACCAGTTATTATATAATAAACAATTTCTGACATATTTCATCTTTATTTTTTGAATGTTGGGGTCAATTCCTAATATTACTGAAATATATAGCGAACCCACAAGCATTTCAAGGGGATAACTTGGATTTTATATATTCACTACATAGCCAATTTTCCCCCACTTTGACTATAACTGTATGGTGTGTGGTGGTCTCTCTGTGGAGCTCCGCGATAGACTGAAAATACTAATGAACAGCTGCGTAAGATTTGTGATCGGGGCTACAAGATACTCCCATGTCTCTCACCACTACGCTGAGTTAAAATGGCTTTTCCCCTCCTTCCGAAGACAATATTTCCTAGGTACGTTCCTCTACTAAATCATCAACAACCATCGTCCTTCTTACGCCTACAACCTTCTCCAGTTCAAATCCCAAGTCCATTCCCTGTCCACAAGATCTCGACCTTCTAAACTTTACATGCCTTCTCACAGATCTGCTTCATTCCAAAACTCCTTTATTACTCGCTCTGTCAATTTCTGGAATTCCCTCTCTATCAAAATTCGACATTCCCCATCCATATCCACATTCAAAACCCTCCTATCCCAAAAACAATTAGATAGTTGCTAACCATTCGACAACATACATTTATTTCATGCCATTCATTGTCAAATATCAATGCTAAATGATAATATATTTATATATTAATCAGGCACTTTATATTCTGTTTTCTCAACAGAAACACAAAGCTGATTTTAATAAAGAATTTAATATATTTTTATTTTTAATTCTTTATTGTTTTCTTAAAAGTGTATACTGGTCTATCAGTGCAAATAGCTTTAAGTGTCTTGTCATAGTGTTAATTGTTTTGTATATAGTTTCGTTTGTTTTGTATATAGAATGTTTACTTTATAGTTTCTTAACATTATTTCATTTTTCCGATTGATTTTATTTTGACCAGATGTAATCTTTTAATTTTGTTATTCTCAGGAGACTGTGTCCCAGAATAAAGTTATTTTCTATCTGTCTAATATTTTAAATAAGAAATTTAAATTACCCGACGTTTTGCAAGGTAACATGTCTAATTTGATTGGGCTAATGTGCTTGATATCGGTCTGTAATGCTGTAATGAAGATGGCATTGAGAGAAGGTGTTGCTCAATTCTTTACAAACAGGAATGAATAATTTACCCGCCAGTCTCTTCCCTTCCATCCTTAGTCTCCTACATGATGTTGTCGCTTCTCATCCTCAATTTCTTTTGCTTACCAGAATCAGGGGGGATCGCCTTAACTCTAAAGAAGCCGCCGGAAATCCCGGGTCTGCCTAGCATTGTAAGTAACATTTTTCATTAAGGTATTGTAAAAGTTTTATTATATCGTGATGTAGACAGTCACCATACGTGATACACATAAGTGTATACACACACACACACATATACTGGATGTTTCGTAATTGCACAGCACTATTTTAGGTATGTGTTCACTAACACAAAATAAACAAAATAGTTCATATTAACATATATCTCAAACTCATTTATTAAACATATATCAAAGATTAAAAATTTATTATTTATTTACTACATTAAGACTTACTGTACAAAGTTTAACGTGCTTAATACTAAATAACAGGTTTTAATCACCTGATAAACAAATGAACGATAAGCAATGACAGTAGTTGATCATATGTTTGTCTAGTTCTGTGTGTTTAAGTGTGAGTGAATATTGTGACACAGTTCAATTTATGATTTATGATTGGTGACACCATAAATTTATTCATTTTCACAGAACAAACAGACGTGCTTAAAGATTATTTTATATATACTTTAGAGGAAGAAGTTTATGAACATTGGACTCCCCCTATAGATACGTTTTCCAACTTTCGGTAGCGATGGATTTCGATGAATTAGGGAATCAAACGAAAGATAATTTTATAGCGAATTCCGATTTTTACATTTAAATAAATTTTTTAATTTTAATAAAATTAATTGAACAAATCCGAAGGTTTCAAAACACAGATGATTTCAATAATCGATGGATCTAGAAGGGATAAATTGTGTTTTAATGTTTTCGAAGCAGACATCAAGACGTTATAAATATCTAAAATATATAGTCTTCAAGATAAACCGTAATTCATAGCTGCAATGGTTGTCATGCTACTATTTATGATAGTCTTCTACGAAATAAAAATTTATTGAAAAAGTTAATGGTGAAAAATAGCTCTATTACATTTTGGGCACATTTTTATTCTTGTTTTTTTTTTTTTTATTATATTTTAAATAACATGTTTAATTTAAGTATAAAATACTTTTCATATTTTGTATTTAAAATAGAAATTCAAAATACTTTCGTCTGAACTACTTAGTTCCACTTTAAAACTGCTTACTATAAAATCATTTTATTATAATTTTTTTATTTTATTTTTTTTTAGTTTTAGATATTAGGGATAAGTAATGATGAAAAATGGTTGGCACAGTGGATATAGTTTTAAAATAATTAATCAAGAAAATAGTCTTTATTAAAGTAACCTTTTTTAAAGAGCAATTTGTCAAAGAAATTATAATTGACAACAAAAAGATAAATAAGCTAAGTAGATATTAATTCCAAATTAAACTTTTTGGCAATTAGCTTTTAATAGTAGCCGTTTCTCAAAAATTGATCATTCAACAATGATAGGTGTATCCTACAAATTAGAAAATGAAAATAGTCGTTCAACTGAGTGCCATGTGTGAAACGGAGTGTTATCTCTCTACTATATAAAAACGTTTTTAGTGTATGTCATATTTTATTTTATTTTTTTATTAAGAGCGTAGGAGGTTATAGGAGCTCTCCTATTAGCTCTGTAATTAGCAATAATTACACAGCTGTTCATTTAATTACACATTTGTTAACCTCCTGTTACCTAATACTCTCCTAATATATATTAATAAAAACGTAAATGTTAGGTGAAACTCCTTCACCGATTGCTTTGAAATTATTGACGTAACGATTCTGAAACATTTTAATTAAACATGGATAAAGTCTTCTCCTTGAAGCCCTTTTAATTTATGTATATAACATCCTTCCTCGAAAAGAGTAGGGAAAAAAAGTTACAATGAGTTCAAAACTATATTTACGAATGACTCAAAATCACACAATCTTTGTTTGATTATACACGTGATTATTTTAAAGCTTTCTTAATTTCCTGCTAGTTAAAAAAATGATCTCTAAAATCGGATTTGGTGCAGAGATATAATGTTTAGAACATTTAATACGTTTTCTTCAGAGATTTAGATACGTACTGCTTCTCTCTCACTCAGACAAATATATGTTACGTGTTTTAGAGTTAGAAAAGCAGACAATGTCTAGATCTATACAAAGACTGGAACAATGAAAAATATAGTATATCCACTAATATTGTGAAATAAAATACACTGACAGGCAAAAAATTCCACCCATTTGATTGTTTCATGTCTTCATCTAAAAATATTTCTGCTTTGGATTGGTCTATTGTTTTTAATGAATAAATGGGAATGTTAATATAGAGGACAATAACCCTTAATCCTTAATTCAATGAAATGATCCTTGATTCCAATGTTTACTTTCTATGGAATCAAAATGTTTATTCAGTATCATTAGTTCAGTGCCGTTTCTTGCAGCACATTTCTTAGTCTCCGGCTTTTAATTTTTGCAATATTAAGTTTAAAAATGCCTCTTAGTGCTGAGGATGTTGCGCGTGGTGTGGCACTTATTGATGATAAACGTTTCATTAGATATGCAGCTAATGCCATCGGAGTTCCATATGAAACTGTACGAGACGCCGTCAGGCGTTTTCGGGAAACTGGTTCTTACAATAGAAGGCCCGGTTCTGGACGGCCTAGGGTAACAGAACCACGGGATGACCGGTTGTTGACTGAGAATTTTACGAAACCGGCACCTTACCGTTGTTCAAACGATTCATCAGCTCGAAGAAGTTCGAGGTGTGCAAATTTCTGAACGTACCGCTCGGAGAAGATTAAATGAGTATGGATTAATGGCTTTTCGTCCAGTAAGAAGACCAGAGTTGACCAGAACTCACAGAGTTACACGGCTGGCTTTTGCTCGAGAACACAGCCATTGGACTATGAACGAATGGAGTGCTGTACTTTTTACAGATGAATCAAGATTCGCTCTTCGATCTCCAGATGGGCGTGAAAGGGTGTGAAGAAGAAGAAACGAAAAATATGCAGCCTGTAATTTTTCCCGGAGCCAACCTTTCCAACGTGGTTCCTTAATGGGTAACAAGTGGGTGGAATTTTTTGCCAGTCAGTGTATATTAGAAACATCTTCTTTCTTTTTTATTTATTTTTTTCTATTAAACACAGCAACGCGTGACCGAGTACACAGCTAGTGCAAAATAAAAAATTTAGAATAAACATTTGTATGGGATATGGTATTTATTCATTTGGAGGTGGTAGTTTGATTTTACCTAGGTGACAGCAGTTATTATTCCATCAAGATATTTTCCCTTGATTACAATCTATTAATTATTATATTATATTGTAATATAATTATAATTTTTATAAAATAGAAAAAGTAGAAAAATGTAAGGAACAATGAAAATATTAAAATAAAAGGCTTAAATTAGTGTTGGGCTTATATGGAGCTGGACAAATTGAATATATATATTATGGTTACTAATTAGCGAATTTAACTATACGTTGGCAATAAGGCGCGATGTATAATATATTGGGTTGACAAATAAGTCCTTTCGGTTTTTCTGTTTATTTTTATTTCACTATGATACACTTCTTATCTGATTAATCCCTAAGATGGATTGTTTATCCTCTGTGTAATATGTCAACAACTATATCTATTAACTCTTGTTGAAACTAGCTTAGTATTGTTTTTGATATTGCACTGTGAGTATGAAAGAAAATATCATTCATTATCGGCATATTTTGTTGTATTATTTTAAAAAAAGGTAAGCGTGCTGGACAAGCTCATAGGAAAATTTGCATTGTTTATATGAATGATGTCTTAACCGAACGCAGCTGTCAAAATTGGTTTGCCAAATTTCATTCAGGAAATTTTGATATCAATGATGTTCAACAGTCTGGTCGCCCACATGAAATTGAAACCAGCAATGTTAAGGCCGTTGTTGATCGAAATCCCATCCAATCAGTGCGAGAGATTGCTATGGCCCTAAATTTGTCGCATAAAAGAGGAGAAAACCATATGCTCAAGCTCGGCTATGTTTTCAGGCTTAATGTTTGATTGATTAATTGCTTAATAATTCACGCTCTGACTGAAGTCAACTTGGCAACACGCATTTCTGTTTGTGATTCATTACGGAAACGACAACAAAACGACCCATTTTTGAAAAGGTTGGTAACAGGAGATAAAGAATGGATATTTTACAATAATGTAGTCTGTAGAAAATCTTGGTTACCTTGTAGTGATGTTCTTAGAAGAATGTCAAAACCCGGATTTCATCCAAAGATAATGCTTTCCATATGATGGAATTTCAACGGTGTTATTTTTTATGAGCTATTGTCATCAGGAAAAACAATTGATTCAACTCTATACTGCTCACAATTAACAAAATCGGTTCAATCAATTAAAAATAAACGCCCAGAACTGGCAAATATAAACATGATCTTATGCAGTTAGTGGAAAGATGGGAAAAAGTCATATTAAATAATGGTCAATATATTGTAGATTAAAATAAATTTCATGTCTATAATACACTGAGTTTTATTTCACCCTGATAAACCGAAAGGACTTATTTGCCAACTCAATAGATTTTTAAAGAGATGGAAAGATTTTCCGAACGGTAATTTCGTTCAGTTTATTTATAAACTGAAAGAGATTACTGGTTATAACCTCACTTCCCCTTCATCTTCCCAGCCATCTCTTTAATTTTATAATGTAACATTGACGAAATGGTAGATAGTTTGGTGTTGGGTGTAAATGTTCTTCTGAACAAAGTCATAGCAATTATTCGGAACTACCGACAGGCCAAACATCTTACGAAGGCCATTTTCATTTTCGAGTCCTTGGATGATTATCTTGAAACTTTACGTGCGTGATATTACACTGGAAAAAAAAATCCATTAATAATTTTCTAGGAAGAGGGTTCAAAAACCGTAATTACGAATACAGATATAAGTTTAGCAGTTTTCCAATCAAAAATATAAACTCGCCACAAATATTAAAAAGGATGTTAAAAATAACAACGATGTAATAGTTTTAGTGTGAATTGTCAGCTATTGGTGCCCTAAGTATATTTTCGGTGGTGTTTGGAACATTTTTGTGAATTTCGAATTGCTTTTAGAATTCGATACAAAAACACAGAGAATATATCAGAATGACAAACTTTATACTTCAAAAACACATAAACTTTCCGTAAAAGAGAAATACATTTATGAGACTTCATAAAAAAAGGACTTCTTTCACCCAATTTTATTTTTGTTTTTCTCTTAAACATTGACTGAAAAACTTGTTAAAGTATTAATTGAGTATTGAGTATTGAGTATTGAAACTTGTTTAACTATTAATTGAGTAATTAAGCATTCAATAAGTAAAGGAAATAACGCGTCTGTTTAAATGTACAATAATGAGATTTTGGACAGACATCCCAGTGATTTGAAAAAAGGCTTAAACAGCATAAACGAAATTGTAATTAAAAAACACAAAAATTAAATTAGCTACTGGACTCTCGCAACATACTATGCAAACTAAACATGAATTTGATTTCAAAAACGCCAAAATTCCTACATAATGAAAGAAATACGAATAAACGTAGAATTGAGGAAGCAATATACATAACTAAAAACTTTAAAAACTCGGTAAATAATCATACAGACGTGGATAATATGAATACTTTTTACGCTAGTTCAATTGAAAAAAATCAAAATTTGAAATAAATTAGCTAATATTACTTAAAATAGATCAGCATATAATATTGGGAAACATCATTATATATGTTTATAATAAATAGTCTTCCCCTACTCCTATAAGAATAACCAGTCACTGAATAGAAATGAGATGGATGACATGTGGGTGACTCATGAACAAGGTAATTTTAACTTATTTGAATCATTTAATAAGAAAGAATTGAGTAATAATAATGTTATAAAATAATTAAAGGTGAACATGACAATAATAAGGAATTTTATTATGAGTAGACGCTTGCAATTCGCATAAGTGAAAAGGACAGGTACATGATGGGTATTTTAGGTATATAATAAGAATTTTTATAATTTGAAATATGTTAAAGTTAATATATGATTGTAAATGAAAATTTGTTTAGACTTGAAAATGGCTCGACGAGCCGAAACGTCGTAATTGTGATGAGTAGTCATTAAGTCATCCCGTATCCCGTATTCTGAAAATTAACTGGGGAAATATCAGGCTGGATTTCGAAGAGGACGCTCAACGACTGATCAACTGTTCTCTCTGAGGATGATCCTAGAAAAGACTATGGAGCGTAAGGTAGTCACCCACCATTTATTCCTGGACTTTAAAGCAGCATACGACAGCGTTGATAGAACGCAACTATACTGTGCCTTGGAGGAGCTAAGCATCCCTCAGAAGCTCGTACGCCTAATCAAGATGACCATGGACAGCTCGAGATGCAGAATACGCGTCGGTTCTGACGACTCCGAAGAGTTTAAAGTGAGCAGTGGGGTTAGGCAAGGGGATGCCCTCGCCTGTCTATTGTTCAATTTGGCAGAGGAGAAAGCTGTAAGAGACTCCGGTATTCAGACCAAAGATATAATCTTCAATCGCCTGACACAGCTTCTTGGTTTTGCTGATGATATTGACATAGTAGGTAGGTCTGAACGGGCTCTCAGAGAAGCGTTTATAAGCCTTGAAGCAGCTGCAAGACCACTTGGTCTAGAAGTCAACGAGAGGAAAACTAAGTATATGAGAGTTGGCGGTGAGGTTGATCTGAACTCTCCATTTGAGGTAGGTTCTTTTAAGTTTGAGAGAGTGAAAAGTTTTATATACCTTGGGTCTGAAATCAATAGCAAGAATGACATGGCTCAAGAAATACAAAGAAGGATCACGGCTGCCAATAGATGTGTCTTTGGACTTGGCCGACACTTAAGAAGTAGGTACCTCTCAAAGAAGACCAAGCTGATCATATACAAGACCCTTGTTCGGCCTGTTTTGACATATGGCTCAGAGGCTTGGACGATGACCAAAAGGGATGAGATGAAGCTGAGTGTCTTTGAGCGAGGAGTCCTCAGAAGGATTTATGGTCCAGTAAAGGAGGGTGATGTCTGGAGGAAAAGAAAAAATAGGGAGCTCAGTTCTCTCTATGCAGACATCGACGTAGTCACGTATATTAAACTGGCCAGACTAAGGTGGGCAGGGCATGTGGCCAGAATGAGCACCCTTGAAATACCAAAAAAAATAATGATGGAGGAGCTGCACCTCGTAAGACGGGTAGGAAGGCCGAGGACGAGATGGTTGGACAACGTGGCCTATGATGCGAGAACCCTGCTTGGTGTGCGGAACTGGAGAGCTGCAGCAGAAGACAGAGCCAACTGGCGGAGGCTCTTGGAGGAGGCCCAGTCTCGGTGACGGGATGTTGTGCCATACATGAATGAATGAATGAGTCATTAAGTTGACAATGTTTTTTAAAAATTGGTGTAAATATAGCTGTTAATAAATTAACTTGAAAATAAATAGTATACACCGAAGAAGAAATGAGAACTATCTTGAAACTTGTTTAAGTATTAATTGAGTAATTGAGCATTCAGTAAGTAAAGGAAATAACGGCCTGTTTAAATTTATAATTCCAACACTGTCATCACCACCTATGCTGATGACACGTGTATCCTATCAGTTAATAACGATCCATCTATTGCATCCCAAACTCTTCAATCACACATCACAAGCCTTGAAAAATGGTGTCAAAACTGGAGGATTAAAATAAATTCCAATAAATCCCATCAAATAACCTTCACTCTTCGTCGTAAACCTATGACTTCCTGTCCTACAGTATCCTTCAACAATAGCCCTCTCATCCCTGTCGAACGAATCCGATACTTAGGACTACACCTTGACAAACGACTCACTTGGAACCCCGATGGAAACGACTAGAAACCGCCCGACGTTTTCGACTACTGCAGCACTTACTAGACAAACGATCTAAGCTCTCAATCAATTATAAACGACTCGTATATATGACAATAATAAGACCTATTTGGACTTACGGAATTGAGCTTTGGGGCTCCACTAAACCATCGAATTCCTCTCGTATCCAATCCTTACAATCCAAAATCCTTCGTAAAATCCTCAACGCTCCTTACTTTGTCACAAATAAAATCATCCATAAAGACCTTAATGTTCCATATGTTTCCGATTTGGCCCAATCCAGATACCTGTCCTTCCATAACAAACTGCAGAACCATCCGAATCCTTTCGTTTCAAACCTTGCTTCCTCCTGGATCCCTGATAACCCTCCGAGGCGTCTGAAAAGAAGATGGCCTCGGGACCTTCTGATATAGAACTTTAATTTGAGTTCTACCAATGGGTAGTTTCTCTTCATGTTGTACATGTCATATTACTTGTTCATATTTACTTGTTGTATTTATTATTAACTACAGTTGTAAATTTCGTTAATAAAAAAAAAAAAAAAGTTGAGGAGAATCAGTGCTAATCCCGTTAATGCTAGAATAATAACAATAATAATGCTTTATTTAATCTGGGACGAGTACCTTTAGAATAATACAGAAAGACAAAAATGTGGGCTAAGGAGCCTCAGAGATACATAAACAAAAATATAGAGTAAGTGAATAGTCAAATCAAACAAAATAATAAAAGAAATTATAAGTTACTTTCTAATTTAAATCAGTTAATAATAAAAAAAAAAATGAAAAATTGAAAATAAACATAAAGTAAGAATAATGAGGAACGATCTGATAATATATATACATATTTACAGTATTATTTACAATTTCATCGGGACTGGATGGATAAGAAATGATTGAACAGGCGGGTTTTAAAGGTAGGAAGAGTTTTGGATTGACGGATGTCGGGAGGGATGTAGTTCCGTAGGGATCTGTCGAAAGCGGCAGTTCGGTGGGCCCTTACGTATAAATCAGAAGAATGGGAACGAGTATTGCGGGAACGAACAGTGTTATTACTAATTCTCATTTAATTTCACTAACAATTAGATTAATTATAAAAAATATATTATTTCGATTTATTGATAAATAGATAGGTATAAATCGATTTCAAATATTCCTTTCGCAGGACGAACTAGCACAGAGAGGAGGTTACCAGGCGACCAACTACGAAGTGATCACAGAAGATGGATACAGCCTTTGGATCCACAGGATTGGTAACAACACTGGTCCTCCAGTTCTTATGCAGCATGGTCTGTTCCTGGCTGCAGACTCGTGGATAACAAGAGGCAGCAGCAAGAAGGATCTTGGTAAGATGCCAAGAAGAATTTATCTAATCTGCCTAAGTGACTCTTGCCATGAAACCACTCTCCTTCATAAGGTCTTATGGAATTTGTTTTTTTTAGGAATGGGATGTATTTTTCATATATTGTAAATGTTCCAGTAATAGACAATGTACTATTACCAGACTATTTTCAACTGATTAACTAGTGATAAGCTTTATAAATCCTATAAACAGTGCTGATATGAGTAAGTTTGTAGCTTAAACCGTTAGGATAGGTTGCGTCAGTCGTAATTAAAGTTACAGTTTAGGCCCTGTTGCTGCAATACATTTTTAATCCGGATTACTTAACTAGGACTAAACGTGTGATGTTATCTTATTCGTGACGTTTTTCTAGAAATTCTTTGAAAGCTCTCAGTAACATGATACCTCTAAGTTATCAGTGACTGATTTAAAAGCGTTGTGATGTAGACGTAGTTCTGTTTACGTGAATTACCAAATTATATCAATATTGAAAATGTCTATCAAATTGAGAACTGATTCTTTTGTAAATCTATATTTTAATTTTAATTCTTACCTCCCGGGACTGCTGTACAAACTCCGAAAATTCCTACCATCTACCTACTTCCTCATTATCCGTTCCTACCTTACTGATAGATACTTTAAAGTAAATCACAACAATGTATATACATCCCGTTTTTCCCAATCTGCAGGTGTTCCTCAAGGTAGTATCCTAGGTCCTATCCTTTACACAGTTTATACATCTGACATCCCAACCCATCCCAACACTGTCATCACCACATATACTGATGACACATGTATCCTATCAGTCAATAACGACCCATCTTTTGCATCCCAAACCCTTCAATCCCACATCACAAACCTTGAAGAATGGTGTCAGAACTGGAGAATTAAAATAAATTCCAATAAATCCCATCAAATTACCTTCACCCTTCGTCGTAAACCAATGACTTCCTGTCCTTCAGTATCCTTTAACAACACCTCACTTATTCCTGTTGAACAAATCCGTTACCTAGGACTCCATCTGGACAAACGTCTAACTTGGAATCCTCATACCAGACTGAAACGACAAGAAACAGCTCGACGTTTCCGACTACTTCAACACTTACTAGACAAACGCTCTAACCTTCCAATCAATTATAAAAGACTGATTTACATGACTATAATAAGGCCTATTTGGACTTACGGGGTTGAGCTATGGGGCTCCACCAAGCCTTCAAAATCCTCTCGAATACAGTCCTTACAATCCAAAACCCTTCGTAAAATCCTTAATGCTCCTTACTTTGTTACAAATAAAATTATCCATAATGACCTTAATGTTCCTTATGTATCAGATTTGGCCCAATCCAGATATCTGTCCTTCCATAATAAACTTCATAACCATCCCAACCCTCTTGTCTCTAACCTTGCTTCCTATTCGATTCCTGATAACCCTCTGAGGCTTCTGAAAAGAAGATGGCCACGTGATCTTCTAATATAGACATATTATTAGAGTGCTACCAATGGGTAGATTCTCAACATGTGTTCCATGTCTTTATACCAATGTGCGAATTTACCAGATGTATTTTTTGTATACAGTTGTAAATATCATTTAAAATAAAAAAATAAAAATTCTTACCTAGGACTCCACCTGGACAAAAGCGTAACTTGGAATCCTCATACCAGACTGAAACGACAAGAAACAGCTCGACGTTTCCGATTACTTCAGCACTTACTATACGAACGCTCTAAAATTCCAATTAATTACAAAAGACTCATATACATGACTATAATAAGGACTTACGGGGTTGAACATCCTTGTAATTCTTTTCATACAATTCGTTAAAATCTATGCAAGTTTTAATTTTTATGAAGATGGCGGTAACGGTCGAAAGCATATGTAAATGAAACATAAAATAACACTATGGTGAAACTTTTACTCACCATAACATTTTCACTTTAAAATGGCAAGAGAAAAATCGTTTGTATTTTTCTTTTAATTGTTTTTTTTTTATCCCAGCTCTAATCCATGAATGCTGAGATTTGGGAAATCTAATTTTATATCGAAATTAGCAATTCCAACTGGTAGATAGCGCTGATTATCTATATGATTATTTGTTTTTTATAAACCTCGAAAGCGTCGTTGTTTTTAAAGAATATTTTTAAATAATTAATGTTTCTAATTTAAATATGAGTTGTCAAGGCTAAGGCTAGTTGTTAATTTAAATAATTTATTATTTTCGAGGTTAAATTCTTTGATATTGAGTTAAATATTTTTTTGAAAGAAAGTAAACTTTCATTAGTTGTGACGCAATTAGAAATTAGCAGCTGTTTAGCGAAACTAATTGTCAACAGAGGTCAGCTAAATAGGGTTAGTATTGCTTCTTCACCATTTCTATCGGTTACATAAACAGCTATATATTAAGGTTTATGATTTGGCAGTTGAGAATGAAACCTTCTATAGAAACAGGAATTTTTAAAGTATAGTCCTGTGTCAAGGAAATATATACATCTAAACAAAACAAAAAAAAAAAAAAAAAAGTCTGCCAACTAAGGTCAGTGTAGCTTCATGTGTTTCATTTTATATTACAAGGTATACAATTTTTCGTATGAGAATAAAATCTCTGGGAGAAGCCAATTCGGAAATACAGTTATAATTCAACATTCAACAAAAGAGTGCCGTATTTGAAGATTCTATATTTGATTATTCTTAATAAAAAAAAAAAATAAAAAAAATGCATACTGAACATGAATTTCAATAATGTTAGTGCAAAAGGTCTTATGTAAAAATTTATTGTTTTACAAGAGTGCATCAAAACTCATTATTTCTTCATGATTTATTACTATAATTTCTTATTTTATTTTTATCTGCTATTTTCCATAGTAGCAGACTACTTATACCAGTTGCAGACTACAAATGTCACCTTTAATATAAATAGAATAAAAGTTGAAAATTTTTACATACGACCTTTTACACTAAGATTAGTGGTATACACTAGCGGATCCAGATTTAATTTAGGGGGAGCGAGGGAGCTTCAGCCCGAAAGATTTTTTTTTCATATACATATAACGATAATTAATTTGAAAAAAAAAAACGCTGCAAATTATTTCACAATAGTTTATTATTTCCAAACAATTATACATCCAAAGTAACATTACCTTCCTAGTTATAAATAAAAATGAATGAAAGTTGATTCAAATTATTGGAGTAAACTTGTTTCTAGTCAAAAGATATATATATATATATATATATATATATATATATATATATATATATATATATAAAACGTTTGCAGTACATCTAAAAAAAAAGACTAGAGATCATATCTTTGCTCCAAAAATTGTTCGATTTTAACGATTTTTTTTTTTTTTTTAGGAAATTTTGTAAACTTTTAAATAACCATCAACAAAAAAGTGTATACTTTTTCAGTTATTAGGAATATAATTTTACTATCCATCGTAAGTTTTTTTTTTCAGTTTCTTTTCGTTGAAGCATATTATATAGATAAAAAATTAAAGGGCGCCGAGAAAATTTCATTGAAATCGGTACATTCGTTTAGGCGCTAAAGTCTATGGCAACGCGCGAATTAACGAACTCGTACAACAGTGAAGACTTTGAAATATACTTTTATTGTGAAATATAAAGTTATATTGACATAATCTTAGTGAACTTCTTACAAACTAGCCTTGTGAGGCCTAAACTAATGTTACATAAGTTACATCTACTGATATTTACAGATGGAATGATGGCATTGAATGGAATGAATTTCTCTAATATTAAGGGCGGTAATATAGCCCAACTCTGGGGTGGGGATAGGTTTGGTCGGAGGAGGAGAGGGGGTGATGGGCGTTAACTTGGTTTCTAAGAACTAATTTAGGGGTAGTGCCGGTAGGGATACTGGACAAAGGGTATTCAGAAGTAAAGTAATAAAACTTCTCTAAGGGTGGAAGCCTTGACAGTTCAAAAGGAATCTGATGGACAACTGCCTGATATTCGGGGTTGTGACATTGACAGGTTTTTTAGAATCAGGGTGGATGCACGTCACATAAATATGGTCACACACATGGTCAAGATGCCCAGTTCCAAACGGACTTATTCCCACGGACAAGGGTCACAGGATGTTATAACTCAGTGGTCAAAGCGAGCGTGCTTAATTGGAAAAAGATGTGACAGCAATATTCAAAGAATTGTATTTACAAAAGCTATTGTCTTTTATCTCCTCCGTTCTACAAGTGCAAAGTCTCTTGCAGCACTCAACTATACTGTTGGTTTAATTGAATTTCTTTATACCATGCTTGGTCCCATCCATCAAATTAAGGGTAATCAGGAGTAATCAGGTTGTGAGGGAAAGATAGGATCCATTGGTATGTGGTTAACAATTACATTTTTTTACAATATTTTGTGAATACTTATATCTATAAATTTCTAACCCATCCTTTTTTTTTTATTACAGTTTTGATGGTTATTTATATTATAACATCTAATATTTCTATTGAATATTAATTTTAATAACATCAGATTTTCTTTGTTTTATCGATGACACTAGAATAATAGATGAACATGGCCATCATATCAAACAACAAGTAAACTTACTACAAATGGAAAATGATAAATAAATGCAATAGATATAATATTTCTATTCAGTCTATAGCATAGCTGATTCATTCCTAATTTATGTTATTTAATAGTAATATAATGTATCTACTATTGCTTTAAAACAATAAATATTAATTAATTAATATTAACTTAATATTATAATATTTAGAATATATTTATAACTTAATAAACTAGTACATGTTAACTTAGTTTCATTTCTAAGTTTATAATGTAATTTAATGAAATACATAATTTTCTTTTCTTAATCATTTCACTTTTAGAGGTAGAAACCTCTCTTTTTTTTTCATAATTTATATATAAAAGTACAGTAATGTAATTTGTTATGACAATAGAAAACATTACAGTTTTTTACACCAATGGTTATACAATGAGATTATGATATATGGTTATTTGTTATTCTTAATTACTTC